CTCTTGAGGTATTCGGCCAATCACAACGCACTGAATAGCTGGCCAATCACAGCACACCTAGCTTTTTTAGACAATGAGCTTTGTAAAAATCGACGCGTTTCAGAAAGGCGGGGCATAGAGGAGAAACAATAATGTACAGTATGTGGAAAATAATGTGTTTTTTTAACCTTAAACCGCATAAACACATTTCATTACACCAAATACACAAAATAATGTTCTTTTTAGCAGCATCATATGACCCCTTTAAGAACGTGCACGTAAACGCATCAATGGCGTTTGACGTCAATGACGTCCAATTAGAGCATTTTTAATCTCGACACAACTGCCAATGATATTTGAGAGCAACGTCTGAGGGAAATTATCAGCCAATAACGACTAAAATTTTATTCCGTTCCTCACACAACGCTATCATATCACTTCGGAATACGGACTACTTGTATTGTGTTTGTAATGGCAACCACCGTCACTGTATGGACAAGATGTCAAAAGGCATAGGCCGTTTCTCAATACCAAGTACGCAAAGTAGTAACTTAGTTCGGACTTGGCAAATTCGACTCGGGGGTGCGAACTCCTGAGGACGGGAGGACACAAGTCTGGTAATCCTGCAAATGGAACAGCAACGTACTTGATAACGTCACTGTTTGGACAAGATGTCAAAAGACATAGAAGTTCACTGAAGAATGGAAATAAGGTTGTAACGGTGAGTAATTACTTCATTTTGTGCGAACTCTTACTTGAAGAAACATGCCACCATCATTAGGCGTCTAAAACCTATCTCTCTCTCTCTCTCTCTCTCTCTCAAAAAAACATTTCTCTTGTTGTTGTATTTTTACTGCATTCAGTCTGCAAACGCCATCGTTAAGACACTAGACTGGCGTCAGTTGCGTCGCGTTTTAAGACAGCGTGTCAAGTCTACACCGTTCAAAGAAACGCGCCTCGAGACCACTGCGTTTTTCTTTTAAGCCCACTAACCAAAACACAAGACATACTGTATGTAGCTTACCGACAAAGAGCAGTAAAAAGTAATTTCCCACAGGGGCGCTCTTCAATTCCGCCTCAAAACAGAGGGGCAGCCTCATTCCCACACGCCTGATTATATTAATGACAGAATATCCAGACTCCAACACGCAGGGTGCGCTGCTTCTTTTCTAGTGCTCCACTCCCACGAACAAGCACTGCACATTCTGCCAGAGAGGCGGTTCAGTCTTTCCCGGGATGGCAGCAGCAGCCTCAAGTGGCAGATCACATGACTCTGTAGAGGTTCAATAAATCTTTCACTGGTTGGTGGCAGCGGTTGTGTCTTCTATGCAGGCTATATTGGGCATTATCTGAAGGTAGGAAAGCACCCTTGTCCAAAACCAGTTTGTCTCTTAACAAGTTACTGACAGATTAGTGCCTTCTGCCAGTCATGTGACTGGCCCAGAGTCAATTCTAGTCCATATTACTGTACGTGGGAATTGCATGCCACCCCCCATCCTACTATTTCCACCTTTGGCAAATCTGGTTCACCGTGCGGGTGTCGAAAGCCTTGTATTTTAATGCAGCTGTGATCCTTCAATTCCTCAAACGCCTGCAAGCTGCGTGGTATTTGATACAGTGCCCTTAAGAACGTATTTGGACACTTAAACCATATATACAAAAGAAAGTATTTGGACACTTCATATTGGACACTTGTCATATAAATAATGTGTGAATGTCATTGCATTAGATAAGAAAATATAAAACACACTGAAGTCAAGTAGCACAAGCACACATTTCAAGCAAAACACTGCACAAAAAGTTGTTAAAATAACACATACTGTTCAAAATTAAGAGTGTATTTGGTAATGTGCTTGTCTCAAATGTTAATGTAACATTTGTTCATCTTTGTTTGACAGTACCACTTATTTTGATATTTTGTGATTTAATGCATTGAAATTAGGGCTGCACGATAAATCGCATGCGATATTTAACGCGCATCTTGTCAGTAAAGCCGGTTCTTTAATCAGCGGTAAATCTCCATCACCTGCCTGCTTTCACATGGAGCAGCATTAACTACACAGAGCCGTTGTTCACCGACAAGCTGCGCAAAACATGCGCAAAATATGATCGTGGTTTTGCGCAGCTTGTCAGTGAACAACGGCTCTGTGTAGTTAATGCTGCTCCATGTGAAAGCCCGCACGTGATGGAGATTTACCGCTGATTACAGAATGGCTTTACTGACAAGATGCGCGTTAAATATCGCATGCGATTTATCGTGCAGCCCTAATTGAAATGTATAATACAATTATTTTGGCACCAATATTTTGGTCATTTGTTTTACTGGTTAGTGTACAACATTCAGTCTTTATTGATCTCTCCAGAATATCCATTATAAAATATTTGCAGGTGTCACGGTCTTGCCGTGTTTTTCTTAGGGATGGACATTTTTTGTTTGTTTTTTTATTTACTTGTATAAAAAATATTGAGGGAATTCGAAGTGCAGAATATCGTCTTAATTGTTGGTTTATTCATCAGGCAGATTTGTATGTGCATTTAGTTGAATAGTTGTAACTGTATTTTGATCCAAGTGAAATAAATAGTATATATATATATATAGAGAGAGAGAGAGAGTGTGTGTGTGTATTTAAAGAGGTGGAAAAAAGGTGGAAATTATTGTGTTTTCATGGAATCTTGAGTAATCATTATGTATTGACTTAGCAGTTTTATGATTGCATTGTTTGATTGTGAAACTATACTTGTAAACGTGAAAATTTGTCCACTGTACCTTGAGTTTGAGATGTAGTGTTAACAGTATCGGCTTTGGATTGTTCAGGGGGGTCAGTGCCTTGGGTCGTAGTGGTTGGCTGCATTTGTACTGGGGGACAAAGCTCTCTTACCACCAAAGAGGTGGGCTTCTCCTTGTCATCCTGATCAAGTCTTGAACTCTAAATAGTATAGAAGTAGTTAGTTGCTTCTGATTAGTATACATGATCTTTAATCTACAATAAGGCTCTAATAAGGGAGTCCATTACCTGGCTTTGTGCTGGTTGGATTTGGAGATTGATGGCTGTCAGTTGGACCGGTTGAGCTTTAGCATGGGCCAGGCCTGTGTGTGCAAGTGCATGGTGGCTTACAGTTGAATGGAAGATGGTGGCCTGTTGACTTTGAGCCGATCCTTGGTTGTGAAGTGCTGGTTTAGGCAAAACTGGAATGATCCCTGCTACCGATGTGGTCTGGGTGGAGCTCTGGATGGCCAGTGAGGCTGTCTGTTGGTGGGGCTGGACCGAGACGGTCTGCAGTAACTGAGGCTGGGTTCTTGAGGTGGGTGGGGCTTGGGGTTGAATGACAAACTGCTGCGGCTGCTGCTTAATCAGGGCCTGCGGCTGGATTTGGGCATATGCTGGAAAAAGAAACCACAGACAAACACTTACTATTACATACTGTTTCACATGACTACACATTAAACTGACAGTTGCAAATATAAAACGACAGTATCAGATACATGGAATTTCATAAATTTGGACAATGTTCTTTCAAGCTGGCATGGGTAAATTCCTAAACTGCACAGGTTTCCCTCAGTCATGGGAATTTTAAAATTGTGCTTTCTAGCCCTGGAAACTTTAAAAGTTATAATCCGTATGCTCAAATTTTTTTTTTTCCTCAATTTAATAATGCTCTTGTTAAAGTAACATTGCAAGCCATTAGTGAATTATTTGTAAGCAAATTCATTGTCAATGAATCTGTTTTGAACCAGTTCACAAATCCATCTGATTGATTCAGTGGTGAATCAGTCTGGATATAAATGACTCTTTAAAATATTTATCCAAGAAATCATAAACATGGAAAGTACATGGAAAAGTCATGGCAATTCATTGAGTCAAATGTGTGGGAACCTTGACTACATCTCAACAAATTTAGTTTTATTTTAGATTTTTTGTTGTTTAGTTTGTCTTTTTTTGCTGTATCTAATAACATTCGTCTCTGTGCTTAGGTTTGCCAGTACAACTTCTGTATCCAGGACTACAACATTGGAAACTGGATGAGTTTTAAAACTGTGATTAGGTGTTTGACTGGAGGACTTGCAGGAAACTGTGTTAAAATGTAATTTTAACTCGGCAGGAGAACGTTCAAGCACACAAAACCTTAAGAGTTGGGCACGTTGAGATCACAACCTCAAAAGTTTATGAGCGGTAGAAGAATCTGAAGAACTCTAACTGGTTGGAAAGTTAGCTAGCATGTGGTTTTTATGTTTATATATACGCTTGTGTGTTCTGTCACATGAAATGCACACAGGATATATGAAGCAGAAGTCAGGAACAAATACATTCTTTCTTTAAAACTGTTAATAGCAAACAGAATAGGTTCAGTGTGGGAATGTTCTTCCATCTTAATGTGAATGGTGTGGGATGGTGTGTTCAGATGACTCAATCCTCTGTGCTCACTTTCTCTCACTCTTTCTTTCTCCCGGATGTTCAGAATAAGGAGTTGATGAGTTATTCCCTGCCGAGCGCAACCCTGGAAAACCCCGAAATTTCCTGTTGAACGTTCAGCTATATGCAAAGCCACAACACATAACACATTAAAACAATGACATATATGCTTGAAGACATACAATATGTAAATTTTCTCACGTTGGGCCGAATCAGATCTCTGAAATCTCTCATGCGTCTTGCGAATAGAGAAACACTTTTCCTGAGATAAAGATCCCAGATAAAGACCTGTCTCCTCTAGGCTCTCAGAAGAGATCAGTGTCTCAGACTGTGCTCAGTTTAACTCCAGTACGTTTCCTGAGCCATGAAAAGCCATTTTTGAGCAAGATTTTTCTATGTGGGTGCATGTCATTTTTACATTAGTAGTTTGAGTGCAGTTGATATCTGTGGCTCTTTTCGTTCCTACTTTCTTTTAACAAGCCCTCTGGTGCATGGTTGTTCCCAAAATAATAGTTTCAATCATTTGTTACAAAAATAAAATGGAGAGTACATTCAACTTCAAAACAAGCTATTTTTTTTTACTGTTTTGACTGTTCCTACAGAACAAAAACAAGGAGTGAAATCCAACAATCCGTTGGGAATCATATTCTCAAGACATAATGTTTATGCAAATAGTAAGACTTTTTATCAAAATCTCCAGTCCAGACTCTTTCTAGTATCCACATACACAGGATTTTTAATCTAATATTCAGATTTTAATAACATTAGGACATTTCTTAAAAGTAAACTGAACAATTCATCTAAGAGAATAATCCAGGATGGGTTTCCAGATTTGTGAATATCATTAATGCACAAGGGGAAAACCATGCATCATAACAGGCATCACATCAGCTCGCTGCCGTGGAAACTACATCCCAACACATGTCGGTGGCTTTTTACCTTTCCTTTCCGCTGAGGCTCAGTTGGACCCTCTCAAACACACTTGTTCAATCAAATTGAAGCTTGTTTAAGCTTCATTCATTCTGGTATTTGTGTACATAAACAGTGGCATAAACCGTACACCTGCAAATGATGTAAAAGAATAGAAATGCAGCTCTGAGAAACTGAAATGAAGCGAGTTTATATTAATGCACAAATGTAGCTACAGTAAAGAGAAGCACGGTTTCATTACACATTTACCTCTTTTAAATAGCTTAAAACCAGTTGTCTTTATTTTATCACAACCATCAATCATAAGTATTTATAAATACTTTTATTCCAGAATTCTTCTTTTCTGGAATGTGAAAGGTGTTTTTTTTTTATTTTTTATATCGAATATTTTTGTCAATTTTTCTTTTTTCCTCTTTTTATTCTTGGACCTGATGTGGAAAATTATTTTTTCTTTTCTTTTTTAATTTGGTCAAACAAAACTCATATTTTTACTTCTTTTGGCACTTGACTGGTGCTAATATTGAACCCTGGTAATAGCTACCCTATAAGATTCTTTTTTTTTTTTTTTTTGTAAACAAAAATCTGAGGCCTTTTTAAATTTTCTACCAAAGCATAACCAAACACATAGCAAAGTCTCTACCAGCCTTGACGCGCAAGTACCTGCTTCTAAGTGTGCAGGATAATTGCCCTGTGTGAGCTGTTATGATTAGAGACCACTGGAATGATGGATGGCAGATGTCAGATGTTGACGTACACTGAAAGTCTCATCTGAGAAAGTGCGTGCCCTTCAAAGGCCACGTATGCATTAATGCACTCGAGCTTAAGCCATGTAGAACAAATGTAGCCTTGGGTGCATTTCTATTTTGTTTGGTACTTAGTGTGTGACATGATGGACAGACAAGTGAAGCTGGAGCTTATAAGAGTGCACATGTCAGAAAACATTTCTGTTTAAATTAATTGAACCTTTCAGTTTGTTTAAAGACCAAATGTTCACACACACAACAATTTCTGGACCACTTTGGATAAAAGGTGCTTGATGACAACATTACTAGCTCAAATATAAGCCAAAGTAAGAGACGATACTAGAAGTAACTGTATTTGTTGAGCATCTGTGTGGAGGACACACTGTGTGAAATTGAGACTTCTTAAATCCACTAAAAACACTCATTGCAAAAAATGCCTAAGAAAAGTGAAATGGTTCTTAGAAAAGCTCTACCATCATTTGCAGTTGCACAAGTGTTGTAATATTTTTAGCGGCACTATAGGCCATATGGGTCTGAGTTTACCTGGTGCGAGTAAGGGATGTGACGAGGAAACATTACGACTCATGTTAACTGCTTTGATCTCTGTTTGCCCTTCCTCTCCCTTCTTCACTCCATCCGCGGAAGCAGTGTTCACATTGCTTTTCCCAGTGTCTGAACTGGAAGCACTCTGGCTGGGTGTTTTGATGAGTGGGGTGGGCTGAATGGAGACGGGGGTCTGCTTTAAACTCAGTGCCTGCAGGCCTGAGGACTGAGAGGTGGAAGACGCCCCCTGCTGGTTGCGCAGGGCAAGGTTCTGCACCTGTGAAAGTCATAAATTCACCAGTAAACCTTTTTTTATTAAAATACATTAAAAACATTTGAGTTGTCGTATATTTAAAAAGTAATATTTTGCATAGAATTACCTAGGCTAAAGATCCTAAAGTAATGTGCACACTATTCCTATTGGAATATTTATTAGAATTTGGAGCCAATCATGATGGTCCTAATCCTAATGTGATCAAATAAGAATCTTTAACGAATGAACTACTGGATAAACTGGATTTTTTTTAAATAATTCAATTTATTCCTATTCCTATGCTATTTATTATTATTATTAAATAATGGAATATTTATGGTATAATTCATTTGTATTATTAGTAATTAGTAATATTATTAACAGTATTGCATTGGACATCATAGAGGGGTGCTACAGGCTTCCTTCTGATGTCACGGATAGAGCATTTTATCCTATTAACAAACATATCAGGGTTTTCTAAAAGATCAAAATATAAATTTTGTGTTGTGCTGTATTGGTAACCTATAAAATTCTTTTTAGAATCTTTTAGGATTGATTCCTTAAAGTATTTCTAGATGAAAGAGTCTGCTGAATGAATACATGTACAATAAATGTTCCAAATTATAATCGAAATACCAAGTAATCCTATATTTTATGAATGCTTCATGAAGATAATTGTTTTAAACCGCATATTCATGAATGCAAATAAAAAATGTTTGTGCAATCATGGGTACTTTTGGATGTGCATATATTACAGAAGTGTATTTCAGCATGTGTGTGTACCTGTGCAGAGGCAGACTGTGTGTTATTGGCTGTATTAGTGTCAGACTGTAGAGCAGTTACTGTAGCTGTAGGAGCCAGGATCAGCTGAGGGGACAGAGGGACGGCTCGGCCCAGACTCCTGGCTACATGCACAAGATTACTCTGCTGAGCCTAAAATAATCACACATAAAGATTCTAATTAATATCACATCCTCACATCAAAATTAATTTTGTCACAATATTTGAATTTCTAACTTCGATATGATAATTTGAAAAGTATCGATATTCGGTACAACAGGGAAGAACTGCAGAATATAATGTCATACAGATATTTTTAATATTATTTAAAAAATGTGTCCATAAATGGTGGCAATCAGTAGGCTAATTTCTAATGAAGAGACCAATTTATATTAGGGCTATTGCAGACAGAAACAATACTGTACTACATCGATGTTTCCTGTCGGCTCAATTTTTGAGTGGACTTTGCTGTTCTGATTCGCATGAACGCGAACGGTATACGAGTGGAGCGACTGAGAGGAGCACACACGCATAGAGCGGGATAATACACAAGAGCGTCACACCACGTGAAAGTGAAACCTGAGCGGTGAACTAATTTTCGGCAGCCGAAATTTCGGTGCATCTCTAATTATTGGCGACATCAGAAATGGATATTATATAATAGATGCTTTTTTGAACATTTTAGCAATTTAAAAATATTAAAAAAGGATTTTTTACATGGCACCCCTGCTCTCGACAGACGGCACCCCGGTTGGGAAACACTGATCTAGACAATACATTAAACGTATTACAACTTTACTTGTAAATAGTATTGTTAATGCTTTATCTGTGATATATTGCTTTAAAGAATAAAAATAAACTAAAGGGTCAAATGTTGTTTACATTAATTATCAGTGGCCTAATTTAGCTGAATTCATCCTACTTCTTTCTGGCATTCAGCAAGAAAGCAATGACTGATTAAGAGTCAGTGTTTCACTCCTAAATATATATTTAATATAGAAAGCAGCTTCACAAGCATGGAAGACTCTTGTGTTTGTGGTTATACAGGTGTGCTCACCATCTGGGCCCGCAGGTACATTTGAGCTTGGCTGGCTGTCAGGGTGGAGCTTGTGGCGTTGCCTAGCAACACAGCTTGCTGGGATATCCCAGAGGGGGTGGAGTTTACGCTCTGTGCACGACTGATCAGCTGAGCAGCAGCAGGGGACGTGGTTAAATTAATCTGTGGGAATAAGAGAGACAGAGTTGTGACATGAGTAGCCTGAATGTTATGTCACATGCAAACTAAGATATTGACATGATTAAAATGTGCTTGTTTTCAGTAGCTGCCTTCATCCAAATAATAGCTTACTGTGGTCTGTGATGACCCGCTCTGGGTAGACAAGGTCCCATTCTGGTTCGAACTCTGCCTGCCGGCTGCTAAACTGGCCTGAGAGGGAGAAACCATGACAGACAGAGAGTGTAAGGGTATTTGGGTGTATTATGCTTCTGTCTTGCTGTAGGAGACTATGGATGCTAACTGACCTGCTGCACTGCTGCGAGGCTCTGGAGCTGTGCTGTGCTGAGGTGCTGCTGCTGTAAAGCTGCCGTTTGCAGCATCAGATGCTGCTGTTGAGCTGCATACATATGCTGCAGGTACTGCGCTGCTGTGCTGGGCTGCCTATGTAGAGCCTGCTGGATCACCTACCATTCAAGAGAGACAGAAAAAAAGTGAGAAAACAGGTTCAATCTCAATAATATATTAATTGCTTCACATAGAGAGCAATGAGATTAGATGGAGTGCAAATGGAGAGTTTAGCTGAAGTCTCCAGATTCTGAAAGATTTTTTTCCCCCTGAGAAAATGACTTTGGTAATCTCACGTCTCCTCTAGACTTTCAATCTCAGTAGTGTCTCAAACTGTTTTCATATTTGCCAAGATACCAATCAAAGTCAGAAATCTCAATTTAAATGTGGAGACGTGTCAGCATTTTTATAGCACTGTTCCCATTGCTATATGTCAACAATTGTCTCATGTATTTCTATTGTATTCACCTTAAGATGTTTGAGAGAAACATCTGAAAAAGTTGCTATTTAAATCATAAGTAGCTGCAAGTTCAAATTTTTGTTATAGGTCAGATTGCAATCCTAATCTTTTAATGCTTACTTTGCAACTTTTTGTTTTGTTCCATCATACATGGTCTCAATAATTTCCATTTGTCTCCTCCTTTTGGTCAGAAAATGAACTGCAACAAGCTTGAAAGGGACATAGATCTCTGATTCTTATGTTGTTTCACTTCCCATATTGCTTTCAAGGTCAGCCTTGATGTTTAATATGGTTATATATTATCATAATATTAAATTAATAGGAAGATGTTTAATTAGCTACTGTATTTCAAGGCTTGTTTATACGCATGCCATTGCAAGTCTAATAACTCATAACAACAATAACGCATTGATATTGTATAGGATAAGTTACATTTTATGATATTTATGTTTAATGACAACCAAATATATACTTATGCATCCAATATAAAAATAACATTTTGTATTGTCAAACTCTAATAATAATGTTACTTAATAAAGATTGCAAACCATATGATCACCTAGCTTAACAGTTATAATACAGTTGTAATACTGAATCTGAGCTAGCATCCCATAACATGCCAAAACCATTCAGAACAAAATCAAAACAAGATGGTGAAATACCTGAACAAATATTCAGAGCAGACGTTCAAACAACACTTTCATTATATGACGATAGTGTAGATAAGTGCATCGTTCTCATCACTAATAGTACCTTCCTATCGTTTTCTCCCAGCTATAATATGTTCACCATCATCCCGCTCTTCCGTTTGTCTCATCCTTTATGTCCTCACTGAACTGCCCACAACCACACAGTTGCTAGGCAACAGGCATCCTGACCCCTGGTCTTGGCATGAGTAAAGTGCAGCCTGAACTGAGTTTAACGAACAGCGCTGCTTGTGTCTGATCATGCACTGATCTGAGAATACAGCTGAGGCTTTCCTGTTATGCAGTACATTTCCATGTCAATATCATATATATCATATCACAATTTTTAATGATAGGAATGTAGTTGGGTTTCTTTACACAATTAAGTGAACATAGGTGCAGTTTAAATAATTTAACTACTTTAGATTGATTGGATGTTGCCATTTTTGCCATGTGAAGCACTTTGAGCTGCATTTTATGCATGAAGTGTGCTGTACATCATGATCATAATAATAATAATTATAATTATTAACAATATTAATGTTAATAACAACAACAACATTGTATTGGACCTTTCATATTACTATTATTATTATTATTATTATTATTTAAAAAAAGAAACATAATGAAATTAATGATTATATGTACTTTAATTACAGTGTTTAAATTGGATATAAGATTATCAATATCACATTTGGCTGAAATTTAGCAACAGTGTCTAATTCCAGGCCACTTAATTTACATGTAGGGAGAGGTTAAAGGTCAAGACCTGAGTCAATAATGAACAACCACATTCCACAGCAGAGGAAAGAATAGGAATATGTCTGAAGCACTGAAACCTTCATTGTCATTCCTTTTCTAACTGCAGTAATAATCACACCAGCAGATGGCAGTATGGACTTAAAGTCAAATAATTAAACATTTAAGCAAGAAAAAAAGTGATGTGTGGTGCAATGCAGTGTGATTATACAAGAAAGTTTGACAAGCAGAAATGTGGTAAATCGTTAACATGCACACAAATATTATCAACACAATTACTATGCATTTCTGAACTCGGTTGTCTATATTTGAACTGATTGATTCTGCCAGGTGGTTATGTTTTAGGGTGAGTGTGACGTGCACCTGTACAGTCTGTCGGTCAGGTATACCGCTGTATACAGATATCTGTGGAATGGCCAGTCTTCCGCTGCTCGTGCTGCTGCTGGTGGAGCTGACAATGCTGGCAGTGGAGGCACTGGTGGTGCCTGCGGAGTTTGTGGTGGAGGTATTGGTGCCTGTGCTGCTGCTGGCACTGGAGGCAGGAGTGCTCTGCTCACCCTCCATTGTGCCGCCCCGATGCTTCACCTTTGAACCACGACCACCCCGCTGCCAAACTCGACGCAAGCTGAGAGAGACAGAGAATAAGAATTTGTGAATTCCTGTTACTAAAATTCCCTTCTTTTGTTGAGATCGTTGAGATACTGAAGCTATTTCTAGTTGATAGTTATGAAATTTGATGCGTTAACATAGAGTACGATAGTAGTATCATGTTATTTAGACAGTACCAAGGTAATGAAATGTTTTTGAATATGTACCATGGTAATTGTCCCTTCACAGGGAATTTGATTGACAGGCGATTGAAACAAGATCTTTCTGCGGTTGAAACAAGATACCTTCTGATGTTCATTCATGTTTATTTCATGCTATAACTAGTAGAGGAAGATCAAATCGGTTCACGGACCGCTTGAACTGAGGCGCTACAGCAATCTGTCACGACATATTAAAAAGCCATAAAACTATTTATTGTTTGAATTTCTTGAAAAATGACAAAATTTGAGAGCTGAAACTTTGTTTCATACCAAAAGTAACCTGCTCTGTTTTGTCTGTCACACTGCGTTGTCAGTTTTCTCTTTGCTCTGCAATGTATTTTTCACTGCATGAGAACATGATGTGTAGCGTGAGAGCTGTATGGCTTGTCGGACATAGCAACAGTAAATAAGGGGGGCGGGTCTTTGCGAAGGGTCAATTAGGGCGGCATGATATAGGGAAAAAATAAATTGTGATTTTTCTGATAAAAATTCAAGAGCAAAAAAAAAAAAAGTTTGCTGTGCTGCACAATTTGCCCAAAATTGTGTGATTATATATCAATATGACTATAATGGTTTTAATGGTAGTACCATAGTGTTCTTTGAAATACTTTGAAGTATCTTGTAAATACCATGGTCTATAAATACATTAGTCATTCAGTATCATGGTAAATAGCAAAGTACCATAGTATTACCATTTGATACCATCACAGTACTTTTTTATAAAGGTAATATACAAAAGAAAGGTCCAAGCTGGTAGCCTGAGATGTAAACATCACTTCATTCGCATACTGTACTTTTCTGTAAATGACATTATAATTGCATTTGAGTTCATCCCGGACACAGAATTTGATTGTTACATTTCAGTAAACCTTTTCCTCAGCAGTGTCCCGTTACCACCACAAGAACGGCCATGGAAGATGGATTACACATCGAGTCAGAAGAGTTGCCCATGTCAATATGCGATACAGAACCACATTAAAGGTTGTCAAACAATACTTGCATCAACAAAACTTTACTCTTTTGGTTCAGTCTGCTTTTATACAGAAAGATTAAAGAAATTATTTTGGTTCAATACAAGTCAAGCTTTTTCAACATGCTGTTGATAACCACAGACAATAATTTCAAGTTTAAGCTTTAAGTTGGCAAAGCACTGCACTTTTGTGTCTATATATGTAGTTTAGGATCAGTAATTTTTTTTTTTTTTTTGAAAGATGTTGATATTTTTCAGTAAGAATGCATTCAATTAATCGAAAGTGACAGTAAAGACATTTCTACTGTCAAAATATTTCCATTTCAAGTAAAAGCTTTTCTTTCAAACTCTATTAATCAGAATCCTGAAAAAAAGTACCACAGTTTCCATAAAAATATGAAACGGCACAACTATTTTCAGCATTGATAATAATAAATATTTCTTGAGCGGCAAATCAGCATATTATAATGATTTCTAAAGGATCATGTGACACTGAAGCCTGGAGTAATGATGTTGAAAATTAAGCTTTGCATCACAGGAAAAAATTGCATTTTAAAATATATCCATGAGAAAAGTTATTTTAAATTGAAATAATATTTCACAGTATTACTGTTTTACTGTATTTTGATCAGATAAATGCAGCTTTGGTGAAAATAAGAGACTTAAAGGGATACTCCACCCCAAAATGTTGTCATTAATCACTTACCCCCATGTCGTTCCAAACCCATAGAAGCTTCGTTCGTCTTCGGAACACAATTTAAGATATTTTGGATGAAAACCGGGAGGCTTGTGACTGTCCCATTGACTGCCAAGTAAATTACACTGTCAAGGTCCAGAAAAGTATGAAAAGCATCGTCAGAATAGTCCATCTGCCATCAGTGGTTCAACCGTAACGTTATGAAGCGACGAGAATACTTTTTGTACACGGAAAAAACAAAAATAACGACTTTATTCAACCTTCCTTGTGGCGCGGCTGACACAGAAGAGCGTAAGCTGCCTGCGTTCGGCTCATATTCTCCAAAATGGTGCTACGGTGATGCGGACAGACATAGAGGAGACGAATTGTTCAATAAAGTTGTTATTTTTGTTTTCTTCGTGTACAAAAAGTATTCTCGTCGCTTCATAACATTACGGTTGAACCACTGATGGCAGATGGACTATTCTGACGATGCTTTTCATACTTTTCTGGACCTTGACAGTGTAATTTACTTGGCAGTCAATGGGACAGTCACAAGCCTCCCGGTTTTCATCCAAAATATCTTAAATTGTGTTCCGAAGACGAACAAAACTTTTACGGGTTTGGAACGACATGGGGGTAAGTGATTAATGACAAAATTTTCATTTTGGGGTGGAGTATCCCTTTAAGCATTTCAAAAACATTACCAACCCCAATTCTCCAAAATGTGTTTTTGCATAAACTTCCATTTATAAGTGCATTCTGTAAACATGATGCATGTTTTTAGACTGAGATAAAATCATTTTCTGTGATAATCAACAGCATGTCAAGGATGCAGTGGACAGAGCTTGTTTTGAATCTGAAACATTCTTTAAGGTTAGACATGAATATCATAAGTATGACAAGAGAATCATATGTCTGTTCATCCCATGAAACATTAAGCATGTAATCAAGGCTAATGAATGAAAAATAGGTGCCTCGGCTGAGGGTTCACCCATCTAAATCTCATCACTGGAATCGCCAGAGGCACTGCTGTTTAAATGACTTCTCTCCTTTTCTTTCAGTCTCTCTGTCTTTTGGGGTTTGTTATTCAGGGACAGAAAGTGGTAATGGGATTGAGATGGGGACAGAAAGAGAACGAGTGTTGGGACAGGATGGGACG